GTTTATCAAATTCATTCGTTACGTCATGTCCACTAGCTAATTGAATGTAGTCTTCTACCTTAATCTTATAGTTAGAGTACCCCTTAAACGTTTTCTTTTCTTTTAAAACACCATCGGAAGTTAGAATGATATTGTATTTTACTTTTGGCGCTAAATATAAACCAAATATGATTCCACCATCACCGTAATCATTCTTCCCTTTGCTATATTCGTTTTCAGACACCAACCCAGCTTCATTTAATTTATCCCAATTGCTAGACGAAATGTATAAACTATCAGTATCTGTATAGTATATTTCCGGCTTATAAAATCCATCTATTACGTGAATGAAATTGTTCATTATTTTTTTACTGTGAGATAATATAAATGCACCTAAATGAGTGGGTGTTAATCTAGTAAAATCCTTTGGAGGAACAAACTCTTTTACTTCGTCATTCATCTGAACGATATATTGGGTCTCATTTACTTTTTCATAGCTTTTGACGTGTGAATCAAAGTTGGCTTTAAAAGTCGCTTCACTCCATAGATGTCTCGATGTATTTATATCCTTCTGAATAGATTTACCGTATAAGGAATTACCTAATAATTTCATGCAATTACTAGCAACCATATCTCCTTCTTTTTTGTATTTATTCCTTAATTCCTTCAAAATTAAAATATAATCTCTGTATGGTGGAGTTATAAAATTTTCTTCGTAAACTATACCATCTAATATTCTAATAATTTTACCACCGGATTTCACTATTTCTTGAATATCAACTGATGTTAAAACGTCATAACAGAAACCATTTCTGAACCTGATTTTACTCCCAGTTTCCTTCTTACCTATTCTATTCGTAAAAGTTATTTTACCTTTAGCTGGTATGGGTTGAAAAAACATGTTTTTGGGATATTCAAACCAGACTTTTAAAATAGCAGTTCTAGGTCTGAATTTTTGTTTATTGAAGAGTTTTACAAATTCTTTTTCTTCTTCTCGTAGAAACGCTCTTGCACTTTCCGCTTTAGGATATTCACCTTCTGTCATGGCGGAAGCGTACAACCCATTAGCGTCAAACGCCACCAGTTTAGAATAGTCCAGTTCTTTGAGTTTAGCGTGAACTTCCGTTTAATCTTTTGGGTTAACACTGTATTCTTTGAATAAATCTATTATTCCTTCAGTGTCACTTTCATTGTATTCTTTTAATATGGCGCAGATCTCATTCATTTTATCCGTTTCAAATGATTTTCGATTTGCCGAAACTCTTCCTCCTTTAATACTTTGTCTGATAAAATATCTTATAAAAGGATGAGTATGCGAGTAAACTTTTTCTACGTTTTGTTTTTCCGTATGTTTCGGAACCATTCTAGTACTTTCATACCATTCTTCTTCAACCATTTCTTTATCGTAATGATATAAATAATACCAACCCTTTAAAGATAAAGAAGGAGTCGTTAGATTATTGGAAACGTTTTGGAAGACAGTTTTTTTCATGGCTTGATTGTATTTTATCAAACAAGCTCCGAGACACAATGTATCTCTTTTAGCGTAAGTTTCTCATTCGGGTCTTAAAGATTCCCAGGTTTCTTTGGTGAATTTTGCAATATTAACATCGGTGATCTTTTTCAAATTCATCGGTAGATTAGATGAATTTCCCCAGGCCGCCAAACTAGTGCTTTGATGTATAAATGAACAAGTGAAAGATATATTTTGTAAATAGTTAGAGTTACTCATTATTTCTTTCTGTCTTTTCCATTTTTTCTGCAATCTTTCTTCTGTATATGGATTAGATAAAGGAAAAGAAAGAATTTTATTATCTACTACTAGTGGACATTGTGTTAGTTTTTTAACGTTTTGAAGTGCAATCCAGTTGTCAAAACCACTGCCGTTATGGGAAATTAAGGTTAGTCTTTTCTGATCTACTTTTCCTAAACGTTGTAACATTTGATCTATACAATCTGTACCTACAAATATTTCTACTATATTAGTCATGAGTATGTTTTAATATTCTTCTGAAATGGGATGTGACGGCTTAAAATCTAGTGTCTCACTTAAATCACTTAAGTAATTATTATAATCATCTAATCTTTTCCTCAGTTTTTCTAAATTAACTAAAGTTAAAACCTACCTATGATTTGTTCTTTGTCTTGATCGATTAATTCATATGTCGGAGGTGATGTAGTGTTTACTTTATCAACGATGAATATTTCGTTCGTCCAGTATCCAACGTAACCTTTTTCGAACTTACTTTTATATTTGAAAATACGAACTCGATCTCCTACTTTAAATTTGGGTTTGATATTTAAATTCTTTATTTCATTTTCGTAGTTATGTTGCGCGTTAATTTACTTTATAATATTTGGATTACTCGAGGCTTGTGTTGGTGTGACACCTATAGATGAATTTTGTTATTGTATTCGTCGACAACAACTGGTAATATTTTAAGCCATTTTTGGGATTTCAATTCCGTGAATTTTTTGAATAATTTATTTTTTAAGAGTCCTGTTAAATCTTTCTATTACTACAGCTTTACCTTCGTTATGCGTACTGTAAATTTCAAATCCCAGAGATTTCACATTTTTGTTATAAAATTCACTTCCTTTATCTACCCATAGTTTTTCTCGATGACGGTTAGATTGTTTCATAATCGTTTCAAATGCGTGTTTGACTGATAATCCCGTTTTGTTTTTCAAAGGAATAACCCATACATATCTCGTATATAAATCTATAACTGTTAAGCAATATTTAAATCCTCTTTCGACTGGCATATGAATTAAATCGGCTGACCATATTTCATCTTTTTCAAACACTTTGACTTTTAAAAAGTTTTTAGTTTTTCTAAATTCTTTGTGAATTTCATCCGCCAATCCCATACCTAATTTCATCTTTGCTTTTAACAGTTTAATGATTAATGCTCTTTCCATTCTCTCTTTGAAAGTTGGATTTGGAATATTTTCAAGTTCGATTATCATTTGTTTGTCTGCTTCGTGTCTAAACTTTATGTCTTTGTTTCTGTATAAAATATCATGTTTAAGCGCAGCGGCGTCAACTCTATTGACTGGTTCTTCCCCTGGTTTGGGTTTATTGTTTTCGTCTAATCGCAGATCTAACCTAGTGCCTCGACCGGTGTAATTATGACCGGGAAGATGTTTTTCTCCGGGATATTTCGCCCATGGAAATCCAGGAAGAGAACCCAATGATTTTTGTATATCGCCTGAACCGAAATAAGTTTTTGGAGCGTGAGCGACAATCATTTTTATCCTATAACTTTAAAACCTTTTCCTTTCCTTTCTTCTAATCTCCTGTTTCGAAGTTCTCTTATTAGTTCTAATTCTTTCAACTCGTTAGATTGTTTCACTGTGTCGCTTATACTCTTTCCCGCTTCAGCGATTGAGCCGACGGCTTTCGCTCCGCTTGAAATGAGTGATTTGTTTTTTGAAACAAAGCTAGCTACTTTTGGAATTATTGTTTTACCTAGAGAAAATAATGAAGAAAAGATACCGTCGCCCGAATAATCTTCGAATCTGTGTTGTTCGTGTTTTAGAATTAAACTCATCCTATTTTTAAATGAGTTAATTTAGTCTGTTTTTTATCCAAAAAGAGTTATCTCCCATCTACTAAAAATGTTATGTTATTTTATATAAGGTTATTTTTAATATGCTTTTTTTGATGGAATGTAGGATATTGATTGAAGGTGTTTTTTGGTGTATGAAATGTAGGGAATTTATGAAATATAGGGAATTTAGGTCTTGTTTTTTCGGGAGTTCATAGATTGTTTGGATTTTTCCCATGAAATGAAATGGAATGTGGAAAAATCCGAACAATCTAAGAGC